TTTGGGTATAGACCAAGGAGTGGGACAACAGGGTCAAATGGTGGTTTCATTCCCAGCTTGCCAAGGAATTCTCCATACTATTTTCCACATTGGCTGCACCAATTTGCAGTCTCACCAGCAATGTACAAGTGTACCTTTCCCCCCACATCCTTACCAACACTTATTGTTGTTTGTATTCTTAATAGCTGCCAATCTGACTGGAGTGAGATGAACTCTTAGAGAAATGCAGGTCAAAACTACTCTAATTACTAGACATGTTAAGATACAAACAGAACCTACATTTTGATAAGAAAAAAAAAGATGACAATTCAATAGGTAAATCAAACAAACAGGCAATTCACAGAAATGTAATTTGAAATGGACAATTAGGCTCTTAAAAAATGCTCATCCTCTTTAACAGTCATGAAAACATAATATAAACCAACCAGGTAATAACATTTTTCACCCATCTGATCAGCAAGATAAAGTGAGTGAAAATACCCCATGCTGTTCTGGAGCTGGTACGTACTCATATCCAACTTCTGCAAATTGAATTGTTGGTTCTTGGACAATCTAACAAGTGCTCTTAAAATGTGACCTCCCAAACCCATTTGAGAGAATCCATTCCATTGAAAACCAAAAGTAAATATAGGAATCTTTAATACAATTCTGAAGTGTAGAAAAGTAGAAAGGTTGGGTTGTGTTTGGATATATTAGTTTTATATGTTACAGCATAAATTTGGAGATCTTAAAAAATATTGAGTTAGGGCTATTTGATATTGAAATAGAAGGAGTATATGATGTCAAATTTTTTTTTTAAAAAAAGGAAGTTTGGGGTGGCATGCATGATAGAAGCCGATTCTGATAAAACAGTCATCATTATGTATAGGGATATGTATGTTGTAGCACAGAGAAACTCTCAAAAGACTTCACACTTACCAAGATGAAATTTAAAAGGATGGCAGGATTGTTACTTTCTCCCTTATACATTTCCATATGGCTGTATTTAGCACAAATACTATTTTAAAGTGTTTTGCATGATCAATAATGAAATGCTTACCTCTATCAGGTCAGATTAGGCATCCTCGAGCAGGTGGCTGACCTGCAAGTTTTGCTGGGATCTAGCAAATGGTGACCTTGATAAGCACGTCATACTACTCTCATTTTATTACACTAGGTATTCCTGATACTTGCTGCGGCTTCTCCCCTGTGTGCTACCAACAGTGTTGTCATGCTATGGCTCACCTAGGCTTCCATCCAATTCTGAGAAAAATGAGCATAATGACAAATTAATTGTGTTTTCCATTTGTGAGCTCCTCCAAGTAAAAAAAGTGATGGCAAAAGAATGAAGTATTACATTAAGAATGATGCTGGGATTCTCTGTGGGTTTCGCTTTCCCTTCATCAACCAAATTCCTATGATCATAGGTAACTGGGACTTCAGTACAATCTATGGCTCTATTGGGGGGCGGGGACCTTTCCTCCCAGTGATTGCCTTGCTAATGCCTTATGGAAAAAAAATCAGATGCCAGATTATTTACCATCTTTAGCAAAGGTATATATTAGATGGAAAAAGTGAAAATGACTATTTTCACATTGTCATTTTCTGACAGGCAAGCAAAGACACCACTTGAAATTCTTTTTCCAGAAGTATTATTTCATTTCAGAAATATATTTGTACTCATGGGGTAATTTTGAAGTGAATCTAAATAAAAATGTTTTCCTCCCTCAAGGCTAAGCATGGCCGTGTATTTTCTGCATTATTACTTTTGTAATAAAAGGCAAGCTGTGTCATCATCACAGCTGTGACACCATATGTAGAATCTTGAACTGGAAGCTTAGGTCCTCAGATGAGCCTCTTGCCTTATCAGTGTGGGTCTATAAGGAAGCTTTGAGGGATAGTAAAAATGTATCTTACTACAGTTTTTTTTTTTTTTTTTTTTTTTACTTTTATATGGAATTTCATCATCTTTGCAGGTTCATGAGCAAACAGACTTTGTTTCCTACAGTTGGATGCTCATGTTTTTACTGTAGAATTTAGTGATTATAAGCAAAAAGTCCAGAATGCCTGGATTTGAATCCTGGCTCTATCCCTTATAAGCTCTTTGACTTTGAGAAAGCTACAAAATATTTTGGAGCTCTTAAAAATATCGAGTTGGAAATATATGCAAAAACATTCAATCTCTCTAGCAAATAGAGAAATTCAAATCAAAACTAAGAGTTGATCTCACTCCAGTCAGAATGGCAGCTATTAAGAATACAAACAACAATAAGTATTGGCAAGGATATGGGGGAAAAGTCGCATTCGTACATTGCTGGTGGGACTGCAAATTGGTGCAGCCAATATGGAAAGCATATTGTGCTTTCCATTTGTGAGCTCCTCCAAGTAAAAAAGTGTCTGATACATATTTGGGTATATTGCTAGATTTTCTTTGCTAGTTGGTCAGTCTATTCCTTCATCTGTAATATAATTTTGAGGATATATAATTTTTATTATCTCAAATCTAGACTTCGTATTTATTCAGACTTCTCTTGACCACTTTCATTTCCTTATTTATGAGTTTTATAAATCAGCTTCCGTCCAGTTCTAGAAAAATTGCCCCTCCCTTTTTTCAGAATTGCATTCAACTTTCTAAATTGACTTTCTCAACCTTTTGGTTGATAGAATTAAAGAAACTTCAGAAGTCTGTTTCCTCATGTCCCTTTTTTGCCATTTTTCACCCTTGATTTTTATGTGGAATGTAGCAAATGTACATAAACAAATATAACTATGTAAAACTCTTGGCACTTAGGTTGAAAACATGGATCTACTACTTAGGTCAGCGAGGAAAGACAGGAAAATTGTACATATTTCACTGTCATATCTTTTGGGGGAAAAATGCTTGAAAAAATAAATCAACTGAATAAAATGGGCTCAAAACCAGATGGTGTTCTATCAGCCTTGCTGCCTAAATTGAAATATCTAAGGAGCCCACTTGGGACCGTCTCCTCTGGGACCAACTGGTTTATGCCCAATTCCCTCAATGCCTGTGAATCAGCCCGAGAAGTAGATTAGAGAGACCCTTCTAGCAACCAGGACAGGAGGGCTGTGGGCCCCCTTTCTGGCTCCTCCTCCTAGGTCATATGGAAGGTGAACATCTACCAGGATTCAAAAGGAAACGTAAGTCTAACTCTTCTTTCCTGCAGTTTATCTGCTCATTTTCTCTCCTGGAGTAAAGAAATGAAATTACCTCCGATTTTTCCTTTGCCTTTGTTTTTGCCCCACCACACCACATTAACATCTAGCTTTAGGCACTGCCCCAGCCTGCAGGTGAGAGGATCAGCATTCAGGAGCAGGGATGCTCACAGCCAGGTTGAGTGAGGATGCAATCCATCCCTAGAGTATTGCAGCATCAATCTTTCACTCTCCAAAACCAAGGTTCCATAGGGCCACCACCAAGCAGGCCCCTTTTGTCCCTTGAGTACAGTGACCCTTCCCATGTTCTGTCCATGGGCACAGGAGAAGTAGGGACATCTTGCCTGGCCAGCTTTTCTCATGCTTAAGAGCACAGTTGGGTAAGAGATATCACAGAGAGCTTAAGCTCTTGGAGAACATGTCCTTGGTTGTCCTTTAGTATACTAACTTATGAGTGACAAGCAATAATGACCCAGGCAGCTCAGAGCCAGCCAGAGTGACAGCTGACTTCTCTCTGCATGGTAGACTCTAGCCACAGCCATGGAACAATGTGCTCAATAACACAGCACTTGGTAGCTTACACACCCCACAGCCACTGAAAACTAGTGAGAAAAAATAAGAAATGATCAGACAAAGGAAAAATGCTTTCTTCTTTGTCTGTTGGTTTGGCTGGCATTTGGACTATGAATTTCTTTGCTTTTTTGGAAAAAAGGACTATTGTTGCTTCTAGCTATTTAAAGCAGAAGAATAACACCCGTATGCCCTTGGGCTGTGGCAGGAACCCGTAGGTTCTTGAGGTTTCCAGTTTCTCCAAATCTATCTGGAACCAACAGCAAAAATTTTCACCAAGCCAGGAACTATGGAAGACCATCTGATCATTTTGTTTTCACCAACACCCCTAGTGACCCAGCACCCCTCCTCAGTCCAAAAATATCCAGCTCTGGAGCATGCTGGTGACCAACCTTCATTGTTGCTGTGCTGATGTGAACTAGAGCTGCCAGAGAGTCCCACACTGTGGATCGGGAGGCTCTATCTCTGATGTTTCTAACCTTAGCCAGATCCTCATCATTGCTACAAATTCTTTATTTCAGTGCATTTTTTTAAAAAAAATTTTTTAGTTATACACAGACACAATATCTTTATTTATTTTTTATATGGTGCTGAGGATTGAACCCAGGGCCTCACGTGCACCAGGCAAGCGCTCTGCCACTGAGCCACAACCCCAGCCCTCTTTAGTGTATTTTTAATCAAGGCTTCTTCTATTGAGATTCTCTTCTCAACCTCAGATTGCCACTCTTAAGTAGATGATCTTGTCCCCTTCTCTTTAAAAAAAAAAAAAAAGCCATCATGTACAATTTCCTTTCCTATTCTATTTCCACTTTTGAATTATACCCATGTTCTTCCATACTTCCTGTTTCTACCTCCCACCCTTCCCCCAAAGAATCAATTCCTCTCCATTTCTTCAATTTAGATCAGTATCCCTTCAAATTCTACCTTTGCTTTTTTCCGTTGCCTCTTCTCATTCCTGTCCAAAAGCACCATCCAGCTGCAACCTCCTTCCCTTTTATTGCTTTTGTCCATATCATAAATGCTCTCCTAATTTCCAATCAAATCTGAAAGACTTTGTACTCAATTCCACTCCTGGGTATACATGCAAAGGAAATTAAATCAGTATGTCAAAGAGACATATGCACTCCCATGTACATTGCAACACTTATTCACAATACCCAAGAAACGGAAACAACCTAAGTGTCCATCAACTGATGAATGTATTTTAAAAAGTGGCATATATATATATATATATATATATATATATATATATATATATATATATATATATGGGGACTACTATTCAGCCTTAAAAAAGAATGAAAGCCTATCATTTGCAACATGGAGAGAAACAGAGATCATTATGTCAAATGAAATAAATCCAGGCACAGAAAGAAAAATGCCACATGATTTCATTCATATGCAAAATATTTTAAATCTGGTCACTTAAAAGTTGGTAAAAGAATATTGATTACCAGAGGCTGGAGCAATTAGGATAGGATGAAAAGGAATAGGGAAAGGTCAATTGGAGTACTAGGTTACAGTTAGATAGACGCAAGATGCTCTGGTGTGCTGTTGCACAGTAGGGTGCCTATAAGTAATAATGTGATGTATATTTTTAAAAAGCTAGAAGAATTTTTAGCTTTCACCACTAAAATAAGGTTTAAGAAGACATGTATAACCTGATATAAACATCCATACAATATGTACATGTATCAAAAACACTTCATCGTATTCCATAAATATGTACAGTCTTATATTTTTATGTATAAGTTAAAAAGCTAATTTTTAAAATGCTGACCCTATGTCCCCTTTATAGTCATGAATCTTCCAAAGGAGAGTTGGATTTAACTTGCCTTCAAAATGGTATTTCTCATTCTTGAGTTTCATTGGCAACTCCTCAGTGAATTATAAATCTGATAATGAGTCACCAAACAGTTAAATCATATATTCAAGTAAATAAGAGTCCATTCTCACCATGAAGGAGCTGATAGTTCAGGACTATGGAGGAGACAAAGTGCAGTGACCCTTTGTCCCTCCCTGCCTCTGCAGGCTGACATCTGGTCGTGGTGGTAACTCCAGCCGAGTGCCCTAAGGAAGCCGCCATTGATTTTCCAGATACACTAGTTAGCATCATGTCATTTCACTCTTATGACTTTATTTAATTTTCTGCTTGAAATGCCTTCTCATCCCTTTACCTGGCTAACTTTTATTTCCTTCTCTTCTGGTACCACTTCCTCCAAGAAGCCTCCTTCCTATGTGCCCTAGTCTGAATCTTCCATGGCCCTTCATGTATTATCTTTTCACATATTTTATTGTAACAGTCCTGTTTATTTCTCCACTTTGTCAAAAGCTTCCAAAGAGTAAGAAACAAAGAGCAAAACAAAAATGCATTTCAACTTGCTCCCAAACTATATAATAGGAAATGCCTATCCAGGCATGCGGGCATTCAAATATTAATTTCTGGACATGGAAGGTACTCTTGAAAGAAATTTTATTAACCTTGTGCTCAGTTTCAAAAGCTGTTTTTGGATTGCTTTCCTATACTTTAAGCCGAAGACTAACAATCATAAAAGTAAACTAGTTTTATTTTTCTACTTAATATCAACTATGTTATAATCATTATAAATGTGCCATTAGTTGAAGCTATAAGAAAAAACTGTCTGAGGGTTTCATTTTGTTTTACTTTTTCTCTACCTGTTGGTGAACTTTAGTTTGAGATTTTTCAGATTTCTTTAGAAAGCATTCAAGAAAGCCAGGTGTAGTAGTACACACCTGTAGTCCCAGTGACTTGGGAGACTGAGACAGGAGGATTGCAAGTTCCAGGTCAGCCTCAGCAACTTTACAAAACCCTCAGCAATGAGACATACCCAGATACAAAAAGGACTGGGTTTATAGCTCAATGGTAAATTACCTCTGAGTTTCAATTCCCAATACAAAAAAAAAAAAAAGTATTCAAGAATCTTTCTGAGTTTTCTCATGTCAGAATCCAGTTCCATATAAGGAAGTTTTCTCTTCTTTAAATTGATTGTATACACAACAAGAAATAGTCTAAGAAGAGGTATAATATCTGCTGTCCTCCTTTGTCTCAGGACCTTACCATTCTGGCTACTTAGTAATGGAATCTCCATATTCCACAGTCCACGCATGAACTTTGCAAGTTTAGATTATCATCTTTTTCCTTCATCAAAGAGTCATTACATTTTGGGAAGCTGACCTATATGAATCAAGTTTTAGTAAACTCACTGATTTAAAATGTAGGTATAGATTTTCCTGGGTCTATTCATCTGCACGGGACCTTCCTTTCTGGTAGGAGAATCCTCTCAGAAGACCATATTAAATAACAGTGCCATTAAGGAGGGTGCACAAAGATCCAGGAGCTTCACAAGCATGCAAGGGACATGGTGAAGATCAAATGCACATAAAACCATCTAATAGAAGGTTCAACACACGATCATGAACGTTTTTCTTTAAATATGAATCAAAATATATGTATACAGCAAACAGCTTACAATCTAATGGAGAAACCAGTTATAGCAGAAAACAGAATTTGCCATTGCACTAAAAATATAAAGAACTCTGTGAAGGGCCAGAACGAGGCAAGATTTTATGAAAAGGGACATGTTGTCGGCAAAATAGAGGAGACAGAACTTCCCAAGGAGAGAGAAGAATGTGGGAGAAAGACATTATGATGGTGCTTTAAAAGCAAGCATACAAATAGCACGAACTTGCAAAAAATATCCTTTAAGGAACATCTAACTCTAAAACTGAGGCCCTTTTCCACTCTGGGAGTATTTATAATCAGACAGGACCAGTCAGAACATCTTTGATGGTACTGGAAGAATGCTGAAGATTTCCTAGCAAAATACTGAAAATGAGTCCAACAGCTATCATCAAAATAGCATCATACCATTAATATTATATTTTCAAGATTAGCGCTAGCTCACACTAGTCACACTGAAAAGCAGTATTTGATGACTTTTAGAGAGGTATTTTGGGATCATAGCTGAACAGAGAGCTATATTTCTATTAGACACACTTTCAAAATCTTTATTCCGGAGAAGCACTTCTAGGAAGATTTCAGAACATTTTCTGAGGAAACTTTTTGGTTTTTATTTCAAAAACTGGCATTTTCTGGCTTTCATTTTCTGTCCTCGGTTATGGGTCTGTAATAGCTTTTGCTTTTACCTTAAGGATTTGAGAAACATGAATTGTACTGGCACTTTAAAGAAACGTGAAGTCTTCAAAGTCTGTTAGTTATCTAGTTTTTTCTCATTTTTTTAAATTAATGCTTGATTTCAGGAACTAGGACCACTGGCTGTGGTGAAATATGAATTTGACCAGGCATATCTTGCCCAATTTAAATTGGAACACACCCATAAGATCCTTTAGGGTAACAATCACTAATGCTAAAAATCCTTTAAAATCTCTTAAAACATGAATTAATTTGTCTTCTACATTTTTCTATGACTCATTGATTCCTTTTCATAATCCTGCTCTTTTATTAAATCCCAAACAAATCACCATGAAGGTTTATGTCAGTGACCCTGTTACATACTGTGTGACCAGACTAATTCCCATGCCGCTTATACATTTGAGATAGAAACTTTGGAGACTCCCCCGCCCAGTTGACATAAAAATCAAGTCTGACTACTCCAGAGTACTCTATTTTTCTAGTAGGTCAATTACTCTGTGGTAAGGGCAGTTATTTATTAAATGTGTTTCCTCTGAATAGTCAATCTTATCTGAAATAGAGACATGATTCTCAATTTTTTATTGGCTGTGCTTGAGGCACTGAGGTTTTATGTCTACCGATTTTGTCTTAAGCACAGACTTCTGATTGTCTGGAATATTCACATGATGTGCCAGACACCCCACACCTTTAGCTTCTTGTAAATTCTTTTTGTGCATCCCAGGTACACTAGCTCTCCAACACATTCCTACCCCAGTCTGCCCAGGCAAGCATCCCAATGCTTATATGTACATTATGTGTTGGATGATAGTGATTCAGACCCTAACCCTGTCCTTGTATCACTGTTTTATAACAGACATGCTTCCTAGATGTATTCAAAGATATTTTGCAGATTGGTTTTGCTCTTATAACCACGTATTAGTGTCTGACCTATATAAGAGGAAATATAAACATGTATATGTGTATTATATATGTGTATATCCATATGCATATATGTATCCATTATTCTAGCTCAATTATTTGGTTGAATAAATGAATGATTGAGGTCGGGGGAGGAAGGGAAAAAATAAAAGAAGGAACAAGGAAATAAGAGGGAGGAAATAGTTTCCCAAGATGTCCTTTTGGTTTCTTCCCGACAAAGTCATTTCTAAAGGAGAATGTCCTCCCAGGCCCGCGGTGTGCATATGGGACCTGACTTGGAAAAGGACAGCAATTGAGAGTTTTGGATGGACATCTCTGTAGTAGCTTTTCCAGTATTTTCAGAGATTTAATGTCTGTTTCCATGGAGATGGTTTGTCAACAGAAACCAAGAATGCAAAACATATACCATGAGAATTTCACATTCCAGCTGCCAGGCAAAAGCTGGCACTTTTAAGTTGCACTTTTTGTCTTTTCAATAACTTGGTGCTTTAAACTCAGCAGGAGAGCACCTTATTAATTCATCCAGGAAATATTTTCATTAAATTAATGAGGTTTCATTTTTGACTGTGTACATTTCCCATAAAAGTGAAAGCAATTACAGGGACAGTTTTAGTAGGGAATTTTCCTTGGGGGAATGGATAACTTCAGGTTCAGGTTTTGGCTTTCAAAATCCTCTCACCTCTAGCCTTTTTCTCAGTGAACTACTTTAGCCAGCACTTGCTCGCCAGCCCATTGTGAGGTATTTTATTATGTTTGAATGAACCATTTATCGGAATGTTATAAAAAAAAAGCCTAGAAATAACGAAAGAATGAGTTGTTAAAGTGAAATATTTCCAATCATCCATAGTAACTATTCTCAGATAAGTCTGAATGGAAAATTGAGGAACACATCACCTTTGCATGAGAGTCCACTTATGACTTTTCTGCAAGAAAGTAACGAAAAGTACATAGAATTACTGAGAAATGCATATTCTTAGAGCCAGTTCCTGGATTATCTGATTCCTTAGGCTGAGGAGCACTACCTAAAAAAAATAATCAGTTAAGGATTGGGCAGAATTTGAACATCCTATGAATCACACAGCATGAGTTCTTGGTTTTAAAATTGTAGCTTTTCTACATTCATATATGCTTACTCAGGCAAGCATTTCCACTACTGTACAGAGTGGTCAAATAATCCATGGAATGGTGCATATTAGAATTTTAAGCTCTCAAGGGAAGGGGCTGTGTCTTACTGTCTTTGAATTCATCACCACTAACACAATAGGCACTTAATAAATGCTAAAACTGGCCATTGATGAGCCAATCCTGATTCTCTCAAGCAGGTGTATTGCCCTTGATTTTTTAGAATTTTCTCTCATGGTAACTTTGATTTAAAGTCCATGTTTAGGAGTTTTCATTTCTAGTTGGTGAGAAGGTAAAAAGGGACCTTCTCACATTTCAAAGAGCTCCATATTTTAACAATATTACTTTCCCTTAACAACACTATCAGAATGCAAGAGGAAAAATATAAGATACAATTAAAGCAATTTCCCTGGTACTGTTTTGAAACAATTCAGAAAAATCAAACAGTTGAAAAAAATCTTAAGTCTTATGAGGGATTTGTCCAATTAAATTACATTTGATAATCTTTTTCAGTAATCAATTCCATTTTCTGCTGTTAGGTCAACACCAAAAATTGTCATCAAGCCTCTGAACAAAGATGTTTTTGTTCTGTTAGCAAGGAATTCTTCTTGAAGTTTCCACATGACCTTTAGAGCCAGCTGGGAGTGCAAGGATTGAACCCCTTTGGTTCAATCCCTAATACCCCCCCCCCAAAAAAAAAAAAACACCTAGTGATCTGATTAGTACACATGATGTCACCTGCAACCCTCGTTCCTGTCTGCCAACCTGGAAAGTCCACTAACACTTTGTAATTATTTTGAAATAGAGTTTTCTCTTGGTTGAATAAACTAGATGGTAGACTGTATTGAAATAGCAATGCTAAATAGTCTATTTTCAGGATGGTATGCTTGTTTTTGTTTTCCTTTTCCATGATAGTTGAATGCAGAAAAGAAAATTGATTATTTTGCAACCTGACCAGTGGCTCAGCAACCTGAAATAGGATAGCAATGGAATTAAACCAGGAGAGAACTGACGGGCCAGAAGGGGATCTTTTTTAAACCAGCTTCTGCTTCAAGTAGAATTAAATAAATAGCAATCAAAAAAGGAGGCAAGGTTTTATGATTGATTTCCCTTTTGATTTAGGTCAAAATTGATCCATATAATTTATGGGCTTGGAACAGATTTTCACCAGGATAGAATAAGAAATATGATTGCATTTATATCTCCACATCAAAATTCCAGCATATGCCAAAGTTCAGTGATTGATGAATTGAGATCAATTCATAGTGTGAAATGGGATCATGGGTTTGGTTAATTTAATACAGATTAATAGTAACGAGATAGTAGCATTTGGAAGACATGTCTTCTAAGCTCATTAGGTATGCATTTATAATACACAGTAATACACAGTTTGACAATGAACTAGAGATTGCACCAAGTAATGAAATGAGCAGAGCCCCAAGACTTAAGAGTCTGGGCTCCTGCCTGCTTCTGTCAGCTTGCAGTCTGTACACCTCAGTTTCCTCATCGGCAAAAACAACTTGAACTACTGAATTCCTAAGTTAATGTTAATGAACCTTGAAGTTTCCATAATAAATGAGACTGTTTAGTTAAATCTCAATCAAAACTCAGTATGGAGTTTCTATAACTTCTGCAAACCATTCTCTTTGGATTGAAAAATAGTGACATTCGAACAACATAGACATTAGCAGTTTAAAATTGTATATAATTGATACAATTCTAGGCTAAAGGGACTCTATCCTGAAACTCCAAAGTTATTTTTCAAATTACTAATTGAGATGCAAGGTATTGAGCTATTTTTCATTTTCCCTTTTTAAAAAGCTGAATAATGCAACAGCAGTAGAAATATTTTAATCCTAGCGCAGCTATTTCCATTTTTATATTTTGTCTCCCACATACAACATATCTCAAAGTTGCAACAATATCTCATGCTGGTCTACATTCTGATCCTTTTATGTAACTTCGTACTGTTGACATATTTCTGTTTTTCTGCATGGGCCTCATCATGACTAGTGCCTACAGGTTATTATTCCCTCCTACTGGTCATGATCTATTAATTATTCTTCCCATGGTTTCTAGTTTGATTAGTAAAAATTAAATCAACTATTTACACTCAAAACTAATTTGGATTTTTTCCAACTTACTTTTTTTCTAGTCCTATCATAGTCTGTATTTGTCCTTTGAGTTTCCACTTGCTTGTAAATATCTCAGATATATTTACCTAGGCCCCAGTACTTTTCTCCATTAAAAAAAAAGAAACCTATTTGACCAATTTAGAATTCACACTTTTTAAACCAAATGAAGGTATATATCCTCTATAAAAAGTTTTGTGGTAAAATACATAGCATATTCTGCCATTGTAACCATTCTTAAGTTTGTACTTCAGTGGCATTAATTAAATTCACCATCGTGTACTACCACCACTATTTCCAGATTTTTCTCATTTCATAAACAGAAACTCTATAACTCAATAATTCTCTATTGGTAATCTCTAATCTACTTTCTATTAGTTTGCTCATTCTAGATATTACATGTAAATGGAATTCTATAATTCCATTTGTCCTTTTTGTCTCTGGCTCATTTCATGTAGCATAACTATTTACAAGATTCATATAAAATATACATCAGTCCCAGAACTTCGGAGGCTGAGGCAGGAGGATCCCAAGTTCAAAGCCAGCCTCAGAAATTTAGTGAGGCCCTAAGCAATTTAGCAAGACCCCATCTCTAAATAAAATATAAAAAGGGCCTGCATGTGGCTCAGTGGTTAAGTGCCCCTGGGTTCAATCCCTGGTACAAAAAAATAAAATATGTATTAGAACTTCATTTCCCTTTGATGGCTGAATAATTCTATTTTATGTTTATATAATATTTTATATATAATTATACACATTATATATAAAATAAAATACATTTTATATTTTTAACATTCATCTGTTGATGGACACTTGTTTCCACCTCTTTATTATGAATAAGATTACAATGAACAATGGTGTACAAATAACCGTTTCAGTCTTGTTTTCAATTCCTTGAGGTCTATACCTAGAAGTGGAATTGCTAGACCACATGGTAATTCTAGGTTTAGCTTTTTGAGGAGCAACCAAACTATTTTCCACAGTCGCAGTATCATTTTACATTCCTACCAGAAATGTACAAAAGTTCCAATTTCTTCAAATCCATGGCAATGCTTGTTATTTTCCATCGTTTTATTATCATAGTGCATGTGAAGTGGTATCACATTATGGTTTTAATTTGCATTTCCCTAGTAACTAATGATGTTGAGCATCATTTCATATGCTTATCAGCTATTTGTATAACTTCTCTGAAGAAAAATCTATTTGAGTCCTTTGCTCATTTTAAACAAGTTTATCTTATCCTTTTGTTGAGTTTTAATAGTTTTTTTTATATATCCTAGATATATATCTTACAAGGATTTAATGATTCACAAATATTTTCCCTCGTTCTACATGTTATCTTTTAACTTTCTTGGTACTATCCTTTAATGTAATTATAATGAAGTCCAATTTATCAATTTTTCCTCTTGCTTGTGCTTCCATGTAGTATCTACTTCAATCACTTTAATGTTCCTTTAATTTCCCTTTTTACTTTCTTCAGATTCTTTCAAGCTTCTTTATCACCTTGAGTTCACTTGTCGTTGGATTGTTTATTATTAAATGATATATCTGGGAATAAACAAGTAAAGATTTTCAAAGTTATTTTTCTATAAATTTTTTTTAAAAAGTGTTTTGATAAGTATTTGATTTTTTTCCTGTATGGCAATAATAGAAGTGAGTGACTCACATGTCCCATATTTATAAATGGCAGCAGCTGGTGAATGCATATTTGTGCATTAGAGAATGAATATCTGCCCCAGACTTTCTTGGGGAAGTGCCTGAAGATAAACATTGTAAATAGGGTAAAACAGGAACCGAGTTAAACATAGGGCATTTCCATTATACTCCCCATGAGTAGGTCCTCCAAAAGAGTTAGGAATACTAATTAAACATTTTAGGGTACAAGTTCCATAATTTTGAAAGAACAAAAATCAGCAATGTTTGGGGAAAACGTTAGGTGGCATGTTTTTCTGATTGGCGTTTGCTTTGGGTCATATGAATGACTCTTCCAAACCACGATCTTCCAAATAGTCTTATTTGTCTAATTAGTGCCTTTACCCTCAAGGACCTTGTACAAATGTTAAATCCCCATACCAAACTATCAGAGCCTTGCTTTCCATTTCATCCTCAAATTGCATTTTCATCCACACAGTGGCCTTTGATAATTCTATTCAGGTTGACTCTCTGACCAACTCTGGCAGCTTTGCACATTCAAGGATGCTGAGCTCTCAGGTTATTCAAATGCTATGTGCTTCCTAAAGTCCTTTCTAGAGAAAGGACGTCCGCCAGAATTTTAAAAAATAAAAAAAGGAAGGAAAAATGTTTGTAAATGAAAATAGAACTTCCAATAATGACCCATTAAATTCACAAAAGTATATGTTTCCAACTGCCTAAGGAAGCTTACTACTTAAGAATTAACTCTCCCAGTAGTGCTGGGAAAATTAATAAGCCATCATTTTTATTTTCTACTTTATAACTATTTTTTAATTGGGACGAAAAGCTAATTTAGATAATGTATGTTTGTAAGCTTTATTATCACTTCTTAAAATCTTTAAAGATTCTCCTAGGAAAATCTCCAACTCAAATACTAAAGTGCAGTTCTTAGATTCTATTCTGCTTGCAAGTGAACAAGTTAGCCTGACAGTTTCATGGATGTGGTCTGAAGATATGAGACTCTTGGGTCAGAGATTCACCCCAGCAAAATAAAGTATTATCACTTTCTCACACTGGTTGCCCAAGTTCCATTTCCCACAGGGTGATAAAAAGAAGGCCAAATGACAACCACAAACACAGTGGATTACATTATAGGAAAGGAACCTGAGCTTAGCAAAGCTAAATCTTTTATGATGAGCAGTAAGCAAGCCTGTTCTTGGCTCCAGATGGAGACATTATCTGTCTTCCAAGATTTCACTATTCAAACATCCTTGAAATGATTGTGGAGGAACAGCAACTTGGAGTCCCATGGAGAACAACTCCAAATAGTTTTATACTGCATTACATACCCCTAGGCACCAGCCTATTCCATAATATTGAGATAAAACCCACACTAGGAAATGGAATCAGATTCACATTGAAAATTCTCCCATTCCTGAGACTTTGATCATTCATCAAAGTATTAGGGTGAGCCTTCAGTTTCCAGGGTGAAGAATGCCAGTTAGCATCAGCTTTCAGATACAAAGTATTTGGCACCCAGCACACAGTAGGCATTTCAAGGGTGGCCGTTTTCTCTCCTAGTGAGGGTCACCAACCATGCTTATTTTCAAGTTCCTCTATCATTTTCAAGTTTCTGAACCAAAATGACATTGCTTAGAAGTCTCTCCCTACACAGGAAATGAGGCATTTACCTTCAACCCTTTGCTCAAATGTCTATTTCTCAGTGAGGCCTATCCTGATTCCCCAATGAAAATTATATCAATGGATGTGTAACTGATGTGATTCTGCAATCTGTGTATGGGGTGAAGGTGGGAGTTCATAACCCACTTGAATCAAAGTGTGGAATATGATATGTCAAGAAATTTGTAATGTTTTGAACAACCCACAATAAAAAATTAAAAAAAAAAAGATTACATATTCACAAAAAAAAAAAAAAGAAAATTATATCAAATATTCTCTTCCATCCATTCCTATTCCTCTCCCCAGCTTGTCTTATGTGCTATGTAATATATTTATTGTGTTTTATTTTCAGTTCCCTCCACTGGAAATGCAAGTTTGATGAGACTAGAGATTTTCAGTTTAGTTCACTGACAAATTTCTAGTTCCTAATACCTAATCCAAAATGTTATTCAGTAAAGTATCTGTTAAATGAATAAAAGAACTAGGACTCTAATACATTAAGCATCCAATTATGGTTTCATAACCCAGAGGGCAGGGCTAGGACTCAAAGGAGGTCTTCTGACTTCAAGTCCAATGCCGTTTCCACTGTGCAATTCTTATTTCACGACTTTCAGCCAACCTACCTGCAGTTTCCAGCTAATGGCACGTCCCTCCACAAAGATCTAGATTAGCTCTGTCCACAAGCTGACACACCAGGAAAGGATGAACACGCATAGAGAAGGAAAGAACTGTGAGGCCAGGCTGAGGATACAGGAGGGTTATCAGCATGGGTAAGATCACTGGGAAGCAGAACCCCTGATCCGACTATCTGTGCGATTCTGCCTCCTGGGTTAATAATGCAGATTCATTGCTCCATACCCTATAAAGGGGGAACTGTCAGAAGTCTAATCTCTCTAAGTCAGGACTGCTGGTAGTAATAGACACTTTATATAGAATTTTAATCTACAAAGCAATTTATAAAACTCTCTAGAATCCTCTTAGGATTCCCAGGATGGGGCAAGATAAAGATAGAACTTGAAAATAATGAAATGTGTGAAAGAAGGACTGTAAAAAGGTCTCTCTCATGAGCTGGCTGGAGAGAACCCAGAAAAGCTTATTTCATACCGAGCATCCAAATGGTCTCATTGCTGTTAACTTTTAGGAGCACTTCAACTCCTGTCTACACATCCTCCAACCAGTGATTAATGCCGATCAGCATCCCACACAAGATTCCCACCGTCACTACTCCCTGCCGAGTAGTACAGGCATTATAACATTTTTTTTTCATAAGTCAATGACCCAAAAACCTTTTCCCCTTGAATCATAGTTCTGTACTGTCCAATGGAGTAGATACTATTTTTAAACCAATTTAAAAATAAGAGTAAATATTAAATTACACTGCCCACACTTGATCAACAGAACATCTGGCTGACGGCTAGTGCATTGGACAGTACAGATATGGGACACTTCTATCATTGTAGAAAGTTCATTGAACAATGATGCTCTATGTGTGGTCCATATGATAAAGAACTGGTTTTGGTCTGATCTCAACCTGGTAGAGCAAGAACTGTTTTGTAACAGTCTGTTGCCAGAAATTCAGCATATTTCTTCCCCACTTCTTGAACTTGGAGCCATTGCCTCATCTTATCCTGCTTTTTGAGGTCATGGTATGTTTTATTTTCTGCCATTCATTCACTGATCTTGAATTCCTGACAACAGAGGCTCTCTTCTCTTCCCACCTCTTGCAGTCCTCTTGTCCTCAGTTAACTGACAGTTCCTGGCCACATGAAGCTTAGGACAGTCCATCTTGCTGCTGTTTCATTCTTCAAGCTATCATAAAATTAATCCTCTAGGTCCAAATTAAAGTTACAGAACATCATTGTAAACAATGTCCACGGAGGATGGGAAAGAATAGCAGAATGTGTTCAAGCATAACTCAATGCTATTTGGAGGTGGGAGAATTAAGTTTGATGTTGAATGGTTAACCCATAGATAATGAAACTAAATATTAACATCTGGCAAGGGAGTATTTTTATGAGCAAGTGAAATCCATCCATATAATCAATATGAGGTCATGCTGGGGATATAAAATTATCTAACCTAGAAAATCTCTCCACAAAGACAGTAGAGAAAGAAAATAGCTTTATTATTGAATACACACTGAACCAGAATGTGATGCACCTCACCGGCAATACAGAGATTGCAAAGACCCAAACCCCACATTTTTATAGAGCTGAGCACATGCAACCTATGATATACACATCCACAAGATAAAGAATAACTCCTCAGTCAAGAGGCCTTGCTGGCACCATTTGTCACACAGTCCCTCCTAAATTTACCTAGTAATTGAAGTGACTATGTGTGTTAGCTAATTGGCTTCATACAAAGGAAAAACAAATCTCTTGCATTTTAATGACAAGAGGTAGTTTTGCAACTTGGAGAGAGATCTTCCTTGAAGTTAGGCTTCTACCCTTCCAACCTAAACTGGAAGACTGGGATACCATCTCCTTTGGATATGCATCTCCTTTGATGATTACATTTCATGTAATACTCCTTGGATCTTGGAAAAGACTCTGGGATTGAAAGCCCTGCAATGGGTTTTTAAAAGATTTACATCTGAGGGCAGAGAATTTACAAGTTTGCAAAATAAAATGCTCTAAGAAAAGGAAAGAATTGCCTTACTTTTAAGAGAAGCCTCTTATTTTTTTTTTAAATTTGTATGTGCCCTTATCCAGGAGTTTATTCATTAAAAGTTTTGTACAACATTCCCTTATTTGATAATTTGAAATCTAAGTCTCAAAATTAAATTACAGATTATTTAAGAGAAATTTTTTTCAAGTGCACACAGTAACCTGGGTCATACACCACAAAGGGCATCTGTAGGTGGAGGTCCTTGGACATCTCCTGGGAGGGTTAAACTGTAACATTTTTAAAACACAGAACAGACTGGTATCTGAAAATAGTATAAACCTTAATACTTTCCCTAATAACTTATTTCCTACTACATGTAGAAAATACCATTTTATTTGTACTAATATTTTACATGTTCTAAAATATTGACATTCAAATAATATTGCCTAGCTACATAGATTTTTGCCTTGCCTATTGTTATTGAAAGTGTTGCATGTAACAATATGCTCTTGCTGACTTCTATTATAATTTAGAAAAATTCCATATCATTTGATTTTAAATCAAATTTTAAATTTAAAAGCTAATTTCAACACTTGATAAAATTCTGATTTAAGAAAATTAAGAATCATACCATCACTCACTTCTAGGACTATTTAGTTGGCTGAAGTCCACATATCCAATGTACATTTCGTTCTCCTACAAAATACCTTAAAATACTAATTGAGTGATCAGAACAGCTCCAAGACTTTAAATACTCATTAAAAATGTACAAGTAATTCAGTTGAATTACTTGTACATTGTAATTGTAATACAATTAATAATTACTTGTAATTCATTTGTAGTTGAACAACTGAATGAATAAATAGTGGTTGATTGTTATAGGTATTTAGTATACTTTAGAGATGAATGTTATCAGTAAAGATCTTTTAATAATGTTTTAATAGTTCCCATTGTCTTTTGGATGCTTTGGAACATCAGGCACCTTTATCTCCTTCCTTGCTTCACCCCACTTGATATCTATCCTCAACCTTTAAAGGTTCACGTAGAATTTTCCCCAGTTACCAGGCTCTACTGTTTCAAGGTTGAAATTTCATTTTCTACCCCCACCTATTCTTCATTTCTGACTCTTGCTTTGGGTCTGGGCTTCCAGTTGGGTATTGGTGATGCATATTACCATTGAAGCTATTTATTACTATCCAGAAGACACTTCTAAAGTTAACAGACCAAACAAATTATAAGTTGCCTCCTAAACTGTTCATTTAATGGAATCTACTAATAATCATCCCCTAAGTGAGGTTCACCAGTCAATTTTCATTTTCCTATTCTGGATTTTTCCTCATTGGGGGTTCTATGTTTGCTAAAGCTAATTATCATCTTTCCCTGAATAGCTTATACAATATTTTTTCCACCAGCTATTTTTTTGTTTTGTTAAATTTGATCTTAAAATATAGCATAAATTCCCTAATAATACATTCATTTGCTTAGAATAGATTCATATTAGACCCAGTGGTTACCCTTGTACTTTTGTATTGTGATACTTACCAAAGGAAACCTTTCATAATTAAAATGATAGGTAGAAAAGATTTTTAAAAGGAACCACTTGCTTCGAGTCTGTTTCCCCCAAGATGTGATACGTTTCAACTGATTGGTTCAAGATTGCACATTCATAAGCAATTCATCACTGACACAAAATGCCTGGGGAAAAAAAAAGTTAAAGGAAACAAAATTTATTTTGGGTTATGAATTTAGAGGTTTCAGCCTGTGATCACCTGGCTCTATTTTTTCTGGGCTGTAGTGAGGCCAAACACCATGGCAGAAAAGTATAGCAGAGCAAAGATGGTTACCTCATGGCATCCAAGGATGAGAGAGAGAAAAAGAGAATCGGGCAGAGAGTCAAGAAAGGACAAGGACAAGATATAGTCCCCAAGGACCCACTCCCTTTGAGGTGTCACTTCCTATTTGCCACCTCCCAATAGTCTGTTCAACTATGAATCCATCAATGAGTTAATCCATTGATGAGGTTAGACCCCCATCTTGATCCAATCACTATCCAAAAGCCACACCTCTGCTGCATTGGGGACCAGGCCTTTTATACATGAGCCTTTGGAGGACATTCCAGATCCAAACCATAACACTGCATGTGCATTTTCTATATGTTGTGAACTGATTGTTGAGGTGAAATACACTTAGGAAAATACTGCAGCTCATTTCATTATAATGGTTCAGATTGATCTGGCAAGGAGTTCAGATCTGGTCCTGTATTTTAAGCGTTTAGACAGAGGTCATTTTGAGGTCCACACCTAATTTTTTTTTAATGTAGGAAATTAGCATGTTCCTGGACCACTGACCCAGAAACTAAAGAAAACAGCAAGACAGAATCTGTTTCTTTTACAGAGATAATAAAGGTGGCTATCCCTGTGTACAATTCAATATTTCTCCTTATCCTGGGCTCTTTTATAGTACAGAGGCCTAAAAACACCTACCCTGACTTTAGTTGGTGCATTAGTAACCCATAAAATTTTGTTTTAGTAATCAGTTGAGCCAGAGACAGGCCCTCTTCTTCAGAATTGGAACACAGGCAAAAACAAATGGGCTTTTCCAACTCCTTTGAGTACAATCTTCCCTCTTCCAGGTGCTAATTTCTCCAAAGCAAGACATTCCACATGATTCAGTCCCTATAGGACTTCCATCTAGGCTGATTCTAGTTGATAAGAGATAATGGGTTGTAAGTGATTACCTTTTCCAGAAATGTTTGCCTTTTAAACAGGGAGCCAGAAAAGTTAAAATGCCAGATAGATCCAGAGAAATGAGTCTGTGATGAGAAAATTTCAAGAAGGTAGGGAAATAATCTGAGCTGGAAGAGGCCTTTCCAGTATCTCTCAAACTTTATAGCAAACGCAAGTTTACTTCTTTGCCCACAGCTGGCTCTGCCCAGGAAAATAATAAGTACTGGGTTGGTGCTTGTTATATCATGAACTTGAAGGTGATAGAAATATAATGACGACTTGGAAAATAATGAAAGAATTTTTTTTTAACAATCTAAAAGTATGTCAGCGAGAAGGAAGTGACTGACCAATGAATCCTTAAGGAAAAAATAAATAAATCCCTTCCTTCATAATCAGTCCAGGCTTCCAAGTTTCATAAATGCTAACACAGTAGGATTTCACCTTATTGGTTCACCTTAATGGTTCTTCTTTCAGCTTATCTCTTCCATTCCTTTTTAAACCTGATTGCTTATAATTTATCATTCCAGCTTCCTACCAGTCATTATGAAATTAACTAGGATCTTTTAAAAGGATAAATTCTTATTTTCCCACTTAGCTTCCCATCTCTGCCTACAACAAAAACATCTGGTGTGTTTAATGTTAAGTAATCAACCTTTTCAGTGTGGTGATTAAAAGATACAGATCTGAATTTGCATTCCATTTGTAGAAACTCTGCCTGAGAGCCACTTGTTTTTCATCAGCCTCCCTGTGTTTTTCATTACTTCCCTCCTCACCTTTTCCCTGTGGTCAACCTGCCCAAGTAAGAAGCTCCATTTCACTCCAGCCTCAGGATCAGCAATGCAAGACCATTAGCAAATGTTAATAATAGTAACCCATCTGACTTCATTTCTTCAGTAATGGAAGCTGTCAAGGATAGCCACTGTTGGCTATTAATGACCTCTTTGTTGATAAATAGTCGTGGCAATAATATTCATCTTAAGCAAATAAAATATATTCTGATTATCCATTCTGCCCAGTTGGAATCCAATTAAGTTCAGCTTTGGAAAAAGGCTCATTCAGGATCTTTCCTCTTAATATATTGCAAAATTAACACAGTGGAAGTTTGACTTCTATTCCATAAGGCTTATCTTTCATTGGAGAAAATAAAACATTGTCTTTCATCCAAAAGAAAGTGATGGTGGTCGTTCTAAAATTCTCCTTTGCCCCAGACCTAAATCAAACCCATACACAGACCCAACCACATACTTACCATATCTAATGCCATGGTTTTACTTTAATGTGAATATAACTTGTTCATCGGTCACATTAGGAATCTTTTCTTATATTAATCTAATTATTATGGAAGTTTCAATGAAATATAAAACAAGAAAAGTAGATTCTGGCTTGGAAGTCTAACCAAGGATGACAGTCAAAATATTTTTTAAAGATTTATTGTGTAAATACTATTAGTGCACATAAATTATTCAGAATAATAGGTTCCATTGAGGATAGTCAAAATATTTATAATCATGTATAACACAGACACCAAGTTGAACAATTCAGTTCTTGGCCCCAGAGCAAGGGCCTGCTGATCCAGGTATCAAGCCTTAAATTGTGGATTATGGAAAATTCCAAGGACTCCCAGAAGAAGGTAGATATAAGGATGGGTAAGGTTCTGGGGACTTCTAGAGCTCTGATCAGTGGCTATTGATTAAGAGAATAGAAGAAGTTCAAAATTTAACTAGTATGGCTACAGGGTGATGCTAGCTGAAAAGAGCCCCAACTACAGGGATCTTGACTTTATTCTAATTGTTAACCGGTATTTGCAGAATGGTGATCATGTACCAGACTCAATGTGGCCATGTAATGCCTAAGTAAAGCAGGCAGAGTTTTCACCCTCAAGGACCTAGTCATGTACTGGAAGAGAAAGACAATAAATAGGTAGACAAACAATACATAATTTTAAGGTGATGAAGTGGTATGGATGAAAATGACATAGTGCCACAATGGTACCTATTTATAGAAGGTACTCAGGAAAGTCTTTTCTGACCATTTTTATCTCAGGCAAAGCTTCAGAAATGACAAGAAATCAGCCCATACGATAGCATCTTGAGGACTTGAACAAATTTAAAAATCTATTGCAGAGAAGTAGCTGTATCTGATTATTTGGGAAAGAAAGATGTCCTTCAAAAACTAAGTCATCATAGTATTTTGTCAATTTTAAACATTTTGAGTATTGCCATTTCTTTTAAAAGACAAAGTAGTTTTGCAAAGAGTGAATTCATTCCTGAACCTTAATATTGATGAAAAGGGGTTACGTGATGCCACAAGATTTTTTTTTACTGCAGATGAAAATGATTATTATTGCTGGTTTCCTTAAGGAACACAAATTCTAATGTTTTAGTGACTCGTGACTTTCATAAAATGTGAAAAAAGCAGTGTTTATGGCTAATCTGTCCTGATTTTCTCACACCTACCCCGTGCCATCCCCTAGTTGGATGCCTGTCTTACCCAGTGGTCCACCATTAGCCAAGCCAGAATCCAGAGAACAATCCTTGCCATCTTCCTCGCCTCCCATATTTAATCCTGTACATATTATTCCTGCAACCTCAATATCCCTTGAATTCATTCCTCTTCCTTTCTTCTTCTTCAACCTCGATTTTAAATTTGCTCTCTTTAAAGAAATAGTGCTATATTCTCTTAACTGGTCTGACTCATTGCCACTTCCTGTTCACATTCATGCTAGTGCCAATCCAATTTCCTAAAACACATAATCAGGTCTCCTGCCTAAAGTCTTTTGTTGGCTCCTTCCTGGTTCTGCATACATAAAACAGGACCTGCAAGGCTCAGCAGGAATTATTCCATCTTCCTTCTCTACCCACTATTCCTGATGGCATTATGGTCTCTTTTGCCATCATGCTTCTGCTTTCTCAGGTGTCTCCCCCTCTTCATGACCTGACTGCTAACACTCATCCTTCAACATTCAGCTCAGCACTCACTTCTGCCTGAAGCTCTCCTTCCCCAGGATTCCTGAAGGAATCACTAGTATCTTCCTCTTCCAGACTCAGGTAAGTATTTACCAAGCAGCTCTTCTCTGATGTACAAATATTTCAAATCACCACGTCCAGAGCTGAATTGCCTTCCTTCCAAAACTTGCTTCCCTACTGAGTTCTTAAGCTCCATTAGAGGGTACCACTCTACAAAGCTTAAAAAAAAAAAAAAACACCACATCGTCTTCATTTTCTCCCTTGTATCTCTAAACTCAAAGTTCTGCCAATTCTCTGTCTTAGGAAACTCCCACCCCCACTTCCCTGTCCCTCTGCCACTGCTGCCTGTAACTGCCCACCTCCTTCACTGAAGCATCCTCTTACTGGTCTGCTTCCCTCCTAATCCCTCCTCCACAGGGTCCGGCCATTCATCTCATTTCCGCTGTCTGCCTAAAACCATTTAGTAACTGCCCATTGCCCTTAGGATAAAGTTACAATTTCTCTAAATGGCTTGCAAGGGCCTTCAAGATGTGGCTTTTGTGTACCATTCTGGGTTCATCTCTCTCTCGGGCACCCTTACCTCATATTGAATTACTTTCATTTCTTATTATATGCTGTGCTTTCTTGCCTCTGGGACATTTATCCAATTTGTCTGAATAAACTCTTCATATTCGAGCGCTGGACTATCACTTTCTTAGAGAGCTTTCTAGATCAGTTCCTAAATCCAAGTTAAGTGCCCCTCCCCGGCCGATGCGGTCTGAATGTCTCTCCAAATTTGTGTGCTGCAACTTAATCATCCATGTGATATATTAAGAGGTAGTGCTTCTGAGAAGTGATCAGATCATGAAGGCAGAGCACTCATGATCTAGTAGCCTTGTAAAAGGCCCCAGAGGGCTGCCTTGAACTTTCTACCATGTAAAGATACAGTAAAAATGCACCATCTATGGTATCAGGAAACTGGCTCTTATCACATACCAAATCTACTGGTGCCTCCATCTTGGAT